CAGAAGCACCTAGGTGTGACACCAGCCTAAAGCCAACCATACAAAGCTGAACAAGAACAATTATTGATTTCCCATATCTACACAACAGCATGAATGGAGGAAATCTCTGGCCGGCTACTGCATTCTGACAGCAGGCACCCGTGGCTATCAAGACTAACCCATAGAGCAACTGCAGTCACTGTTCAGCCGAAAATTTTTCTACGGAAGTTTGTCGCGCTGGGTAGTGCCACCAACAGCTCGAATTACAGCCAATTGTATTAGGCCCCTTTCACACAGGTGGTCTGATCAGTTTTTCAGGTGTACCCAATGATAGTCTGTGGGCAGCTGGGTCTAAACAGACATGTCCTGGTTACCCAACCCACCAGCCAGGTCCAGAAAAACAAATGGATCAGAGATCCGTTTCACCAGACCTGATGGTTCCGGGGGGGGGACATCCAACTCCACATAGACCAACATGGGGTGTGCGGAACTTTTAGTTTCTCATCCATCATAGGATGGACATAGATGTGACATGCGATCTGTACTTCTCCGTGCATGGATCTCCTCCTGAGCACCCGGTGGGAAAGGTGCCTAATGGTCACAATCAAAGAATTCACATGACAACAAGTATTTCCAGGACCTCAGAAATGGCCACCTCCATGTTTCAACCACACACACCCCCCCCCCCCAAAAACCTGTTCCTATACTTTATACATAGTTACAGTGTATCATTTCCAGGGACATCCTGCTACAGAGGTTCTGAATTTGCGCAATAACAAAGTAGCAGTATGACCCCCCCCCATAACAGACCCCTGTATACTTGTCAGACGAGGCCATGATTGGTAGAACAGGCCCAGGACAATAGAAGAATGACACACCGATAATGGAGGCTTGTCCTGAGGCAGGCCATCATTTCCAGGGACAGGACTAGCCCGGGCTGTCCCTGGAATCTATAAGCATTGTGGTGCCCATAGCAGGCAGGCTGCTGACTCACGAGATTGCACGAGTGTCAGGACGAGAGCTGGAGGAACATACCGGGCCGGGGTGTCAGGAAGGGAAGATGATGGAGGGTGCACCGTCTCCCACCCTCTTACCCTGCAGGTGTGACTGAACGGAACCCCCAAAGGCAGCTGACGAGGCGGCGAGAGCCTTGCAACATGGCCCGGCACCGCAAACACGAGAGGAGGGGGCGGCCTATGGAAGACGTTCTCCTCCCTTCCTGACCTATGGAGCCCGCCTCCTAGACACCACACAGGCCCGGCCTCCAAAATACTGTACTACCTCTACTCACCCTTTAGTTTCCGGAGTCAGCTGCCGTGATACATCACCTGCACCCCAATCCCCGTCCTTTCCTACTAAGCTGCCCGCGACACTTAGGAGAAAGACGGCAGCGAGCAGCAGGAAACATGCCCGCCTAAGGCCTATACTAGGCCACATCTGTTTCCAACATTGAAGCCGTACCTGCTCTGTTCTATTAAATGGCGACACTGGAAAGGTGCCAGGCTGCTGTCTCTTCTCGCGGCTGGCTCTTTTATAAGAAGAGGGGATGGAGCTTCAGATCAGATTGCTGATTAGTCACACAGACATTCTGCTTCAGCAGTGACCTAAAGTGTATCTAATCCCAAGAGCACAAATGTTATAAATCGCAGATTAGCAGACGTGGTGGCTGCATTCATTTTCTCTTTTTTTTTTTTTGGCTCCCCCCCTTTATTTTCATTTGGTGATCAGGCCAGTAACACACTTCCTGTTCTAGGGTGACAACACTAACTCACTACACAGTATGGAATAGCAGCGTTGTCATGTGATGGGCCGAACAGGCCCAAGTTTGGTTCGTATTCGAATGTCCAAAAAGTTTGAATTCAAACTCAATGCAAGTCAATGCGGGTAGAACTTTCAAAAATGATTGTCCCCTTTAAGAGGTCTTATATGCAAGTTATTGGCCATAAAAGGTGTATGGGGTTCCGGGTACTGCCCTGGGGGACAGGAATCAATGAACGCCCCCCCCAAAAAAAACATTTAAAAGAGCAGTGATTTTAACATCACTTAAAGGGTAAAAAAATCCTTCAAATATCGTGCCTGCGGGGTCCCCATAACCTGCCTGTGAAGTGGGGGATATGTCTGTATGATGTATAGAACCTGCTGCAGCAAAACCGACATTTCTAAAGAAAAAAAAATGACATTTTTTTTTTTACTCTTGAAGCGTTTGGTTCCCCCTCCCAAACAATACCAGACCCTTTAGGTCTGGTAAGAATGTTAGGAGGGGACCCAATTTTTTTTTAAAATAGCGTAGAGTTCCCCCTCAAATTCATACCAGACCCTTAAGGTCTGGTAGGAATATTTAGGAGTGTACAAAAAAAAGTGTGTGGGGTTCCCCCTTAAAGTCATACCAGGCCCTTAAGGTCTGGTAGGAATTTTAAGGACGAACCCCACCCCCAAAAATGGGGGGGGGGGGGGGCGTTGGGTAATAAAGAGATGTCACCAGCACCCCAGACTCCTTCAAGGATAGTCAATCGTGAATTTATTCAAAACTTATGTCTAATACACAAGCGCTTTCAGGACCACACAGGATCCCTTCAGCAAGCATAGCAGTGACGTCACTGTGTGCTCCTGAAAGCGCTTGTGTATTAGACATAAGTTTTGAATAAATTCACGATTGACTATCCTTGAAGGATGTTATGATGTTATACAGCCTCCAGGGCTGTGTAGGGAAGTTATCAAGTGCCAAGCTTGGTATATAGGCTGGTGGGGTCATCATCACACATGAGTGCAGCAGGGAAGGGGTGGAGGGAAGATGGGAAGTACAGTGTTGCGAGTCATTTCATCTTTTCATTGTGCAGACATCTCAACTCTCCTGGACGTTCAGGGAGTCTCCCGCTATTAGATAGCGGCTCCCAGCCGCCCGGGAGAGAAATATCTTCTCCCGGAAAGGTTTACTCTGCTTGATCTAGCAGAGTAAACCTTTCCCTGCTGTCTGTTTTTTTTCGGAGCCGCCGGCCGGCGTCAGTATAAAAAAAAAGACAGCATAGGAATGAATAGCTTGATTGCTATTGGCTAGTTGAATTTGCAATAGCCAATAGCACACTAGCTATTGCACCCCCCCCCCCCC